AGCATTTGGAGAGAGAGCTGACTCTTCCCAGTCTCTGCCGTACCAGGGCGTTTGGGGGCTATATCTCGATATTTGTAATTCATCTATTGCAAATTAACATACGTATCGAAATAGTTCTAATTACTAAACATCGGATGTCTATAAGTTTTAAATGAATATACGAGTGGTTCTTAACATTTTTTTCATCCACATTTTAAGTATTTTTAGGTTGACGAATGCGGTTTACACTTTTTTTACTGCTACATATCAAGTAATCTTATGATTCCTATTTTATTTATGCATTGTATATTTACATGGTTAGCAGATTATTGATTTCGAAATTCAATAAATCTCCCTTTTCAATGCCTGATATTGTGCTGGATTTTTTAGTTCATAACACGTCAAATCAGCCGACTGAAATCAGGTCAATGAAATATATGCTTAATATCGCACAGTCGAACATTAAACTACACATTGTTATTTTTAAACATAAAGGGAAGTAGTTCGACAGGAACTCCTACTTAATTTAGCTAAGCGTTGGTGATAAATTCAATTTCCTAGTCATCGCGATCATGAGTCCCAACAAAAACTAGTTTCTGAGTCAAATAACAATTCAACAGACCATGAGGAAATGGAATAGGAGTTCTGTTTAAAGTGAAACAAAATCTGGGTGGTGATCAGAAAACGGTTTGATTTTTTAATCAAATATTTATAGTACAGGTTGTTCGCATTCTCCATTAACTAAATTATTACAGCTTATATGGAAGCTAACACTACCCAGATGAACATATGGAATATGATTTGCTTAGGCAACTAAACATTTGAGGATTTGACCTAAGGAATTAGTCCACACGGTAGTGGAGCAACATTAAGAGATCCATTTCAGTGGGGCTGAAGATCAGAATGGGTAAATTACATGTTTGTTTCTCCACGTTTGTGTGCAAAAGTACCTTAAAACACAGACTTTTTCTGATCTCACAGGCGACATCACATATTCACAGGCCCAACACAAATCCCAAACCAAAGCGCTTTCTCTTAAACCTTTGTGCTGAAATATCAACACATGAATAGTAAAACTTAGCTACGATAGGATACAAATCCCGGATTGTGTGAAAACATTCTGAAAGGGTAATTGGAATTTATTCATTCTTAGCTTTACCAGGGTATTCAAAACCTAAAACTGGGAGTTAAGTTATACGTTTTTTTAACTTGATGTTATGCTGTTTTCTTAACCATGAAAATTTGTGCAATAGTAAACAATAGCTGGTGAATTGTGATCTTTCAACAAAAATTTTAAGCCTAGAAAATTTGTTTAGGAGTAAGTGAAAACTAGATTATATTTACTCGGGGTCATTTGAAAAAGTATATAGATACATCCTTCTTTTGAACTAGTAATCCCCTACCCACGAAAAAACCCATCATGTGATCATATTTAACTCAAACACTCAGCAGTAAAGCATAGACCTTAACAAGAGATAATTTAAACTACATTTTAATATTCTATTCTATATAATATTACTGATATTGTAATGAACGAGAACATTAGTGGGGACAACCAAATATAAATGAATACAAAATTACAGAATCTGTTATTAAAATCTGAGCACTATACAGTAAATACTTCATTTGCAAAATATCAATCAATTGTCTCACACTTAATTGTTCCTTCGTTTCTACACTAATCATTCCCTATTCTCATTCTCCTTTCTTCGATCTTCTTAACCTTCTGCCACCAGATATTTCACTTTCAATTAATCATACATACTACTTATATCTATCGACATCAGTAGAACACATCACAATATCAGCTTAAAAATATAGTTAACCTTAAGGATAAATTTTAAGTGAAACTAAATAATATACACACCAGTACTTATTGTGAAACCAAATAGTAAACTATAAGAATAAATCAATTCCGTTAGATGAACTATAATCGTAACTTGAACATATATGGTTTTGTATTTTAGAAAAAATAACAATAACTTACACTCATTGATAATACGATACTTAAATTGTTTACCAAAACAATTTTCCCCTAATACATAACCATTTCAAAATGTCAGCCAAAAGAAATCAATCCTGTAAATATTATAACTTTATGATAAAAGTTTCAATAATAATAATAAATTCTTGATCTGTTATAATGAAAGTAAAATATGATTTATCACTGAGTGTAGACAAATAAGCACAGCCTACTGATTGTTAAATATGCCAGAAGGGGTTTTAAAGAGATTTTAGAAATTTCACTGGTTGAAATCATGAGTCAATTGGAGCTAGACCACCATGAAAAACCTGGAAGCACTGGACGGCCGTTTCGTCCTAGTATGGGACTCCTCAGCAGTGCGCATCCACGATTAAATGGGATTTACTTTCTTTGTTATTGATTTTTAAACCGGACTCATTGAGAATGATTGCTTGTAATTGTGTTGAATGAAGTATTATCTATTCGATACTCTTGTTCTCTACTCTGGGTCGTGAATTCTGAATTTCATATAATGTGACTAGTCTGATTATCGTAATATACCTGAGAGAGAAAAATATTTTAAACTATCCATTACATTAAATCTATGTCTTCAGGTCTGATTTAATATATATATATATATATATATATATATATATATATATATATATATATATATATATATTGGTGAAATACAACTTACCGGAAACAATGGATAAGTTAAAAGCTCAGAATCTTAGTCACTCCTCATCTACATAATTCCTCAACATACAATCATAGCCGTTAAATACTTTTTTAGTTTTTATACACAGACAACAAAAATCATCACAATAAATGAGTACAAACAAATCCCCAAGTATACCTGATAAGCATTATATCATAGGACCTAAATACTATCCATGGCTTTGTTAATAATTATTTATACAGTCCACCCCGAATTTCACAAACCGTTCAAAGTACAAAAACATTGCACATACGACTACAAACCTTATACAGCAGAGCCAAATAATGGGAAAGTAGTGTCAAAAAGAAAAGATAAAATTACGAATCATATCATTTTAGATACGTTAAGATTAAAACCTCGTCAAAAACAACAGATCAAAGAAGATCAATATGAAGACTCTTTAGTAAAGTTGATATCTAAAAAAATAAACAACAACCGTGAAATTTGAACCTTGACCGAGTGCAAATTCATCATGCAAATGAAATACAAAAAATCAGCGTGGCTTGAATGCAACTGAAAGTAGGCACCCTAAGTATCTATAGAAACCTAATTCTATTGGAATGAAACACAAATGACGACGGCCAATTGGATGAAACAGCTCTTAAACGAACTCGCTATTTATCCTTAAATAAGTGATGAAGCAAGGGTAACGGACAGTTATTCTTCAAATAAATATAATCTGAAGTAAAAGCGAACACAAACAACTCTTAACACACAAACATGTGCTACCACGTAGTTGAATTGCGGACTTTCATTGCCTTGAGATTGTGCCACATCAGATAGGTGTCCCGCATAGTATTAACTTTTTTCAGCATGCAGAAAACAACCGAGCATCAAACTTGTGATAACAGAATTACAAAATCAGAATCCAACGACTGACGCCCCAATTCTGATCACATCGTGACCTCTTTTATATGAAATAATAAGAACCAGGTACTAACACTAACACAAATAAAGATCTAGTGCAACCGTTAGATACCGGAAAAGCTACTTCATAAAGACAGTTAAGCGATATTCAACAGCCTAAGGAAAACAATAGAAAGAACTGATCTTAGCAGAAGGCACTCGTTGTCTTAACAACAGACAATTACGCCAAAAACTAGTGAATAAACACTGTCCTGATGACCTTGGACTATATACGTTTATTTGGAGAAGTGGTTAGGCCTAAGTAATTAGTAGAGAAATCAAAATAGCCAGGATTCACAGGTTTATAATCAGGGCGCTAATTCAATAGGAAAATAATAATAAGTTAGATCAACGAGTGGTTGAGACACTAATACTTTCCAGAACATTGAATTCTTGCTTGAACAGCATTAATTTCCAGCATGGCACTATTGTAACGTAATACGAACTATTGAATTCTTCGATTGCTGGTTCAAGTTGACGAGGTTCTGGTTAGTCGTGTAAACGAAATAAGTTGGTGATTGCCCGCAAATGCCCCGTTACGGCAGAGACTGGGAAGAGTCAGCTCTCTCTCCAAATGCTCTCACATCGCCACGTGCATACAACCACTATCAGGAAATCCCTACTCATTGTCTTCTCTCATCAGGGTATTGTTTACGAGGTTGAGAAGACCAAAAACGAATGTCCAGCGATTTAACTGGGTTGGTGGACACGGAGAGTTCACCTAGGGGAGTTGGAAAACCCTGATTACAAAACAATGGTACACATGGGCTCCAGTATCCTGAAGGAACAAATGGCGTATGAACCAATCGTTGGTCACCAGTTACCATTGGATGCATCTCGTTAGGTTGCTCCACTGCCTTGTGGATCAGACATTTAGGCCAAATGCTCCGGTTGTGGCCCCTTAAGAAAATCTCCTGCTTCGGTCTGGGCACACGGGCAGTATCCCAGCCCTCACACAAATCGAATGATTTATGTAGCGTATATCTATTTGGTGCCTCCTTGTACCGATGTTTATGTGTTGAAATAAATAAACTTTAGATCATATTAGCTAAAGTTGTCAATGGCACAGATATTTTTCCATAATTCGTCAATACTTTGTCATTCAACAAGGTTTATTCCGCTTTTTTAACAACATACCAACGATTTTTATTCAATATCCTGATTATGGAGAGTGATATTCCAGACCACATGACGTTTGTTTCCCTTTACATGTGGTAGTCACATGGGGTTCAAACAACTTATAAGTTATCTGTCTAGATATCAATGGCTCATGTTTTCTAACATTTGTTTCAAAATACACTGACACGAACAGTTGGTTAGCATCTTTAATACTGTCTTATAAAATGCTTGTAAATTATAATTATGCGCAGAAACTTACACATTTTTAGCGAGTTTTAGTTCCATTGTTGATAATATTACAAAAATAATAATAAACAAACTGAATTTCTTTATTATTTTATACTCGTAATGATTTTTCGGTATGCACAAAATTTGACTAAGTAAAACATGTTTTAATGTTTCATAAAACGTATCTGTATTATTCGTAAGTGAGATTGTATACACACTGAATAAATAAGGAATATGGTGAACTCATCAATATCTTTTAACCAAGGCAGATAAAATTTCAAAGCAAGCAAACATATATGTGCGAAATGCAACAAATTACAAAAAGCAAATACCAAACTTAACGAACGCAATGAGAATACCTATATATATATATATATATATATATATATATATATATATAATTATTGTCAGATGTACAAGAATGTGTATAAATGCGGTGCTTTAGTTTATGGTAGGAAAAGGGGAATAAGGCACAGATGAAGGCTTATGTGTGTGTATAAGCAAAATGAGACAAAAACAGTAAGAGTGACTGGCAAGAAGATTAGATAGTAAACTCTTAAAGAGAATATAGAAATAAATAAAGGAACGTCTAAAAACAATAAACAAACGAAATTGTTCACAGAAATAATACATCTTCATGCAACTCTATAAGATAGTAGTGTCTATAAATTAAGGATTCGGTGAGTGTGTGGACATACATAAAAAACGTTGACTGGCATGATTGTTAAACAAAGTAGGGAAAAAATAAATCAGAAAAATAAACAAATATGCATGTTGTCAGCAGTTGGTAGTTAAAGTGAATAAGAATATCAAATGCAAGTAAGTATAATTCTATGAATAAGGCTATCACAATGGTTAAGTAATACGAGGATAAGACAATAAAGTAATCTAAAGGATAGTAATGATTTAAAAGAACTAATTGGACCTGCTACAAAACATGATATATATATAAATCATACCCACCCAGTAAGTAACTTAATGTTTCGATAAATACATAATGAAATTATAGAAATCATGAAACTTGTACTAACTGAACAGTTGCTGATACACAAGGGAACGTTTTTTTAAGTTTAAAAGTTACACAATGTAAACGAAAGTAGAAAATGATGTGTTCTATGAAAAATAGGTACACTAGATGAAGGAATAATCGAACCAAAAACAGTGCTTTACATATACTGAATACAGATAGGGGTAATGGAAACAGCAGAAACGTAAAAGCAAGAATGAAGTCATTTTGTAAATCTGGATAAATTTTCAAACATCTAGAGATCGTGAAGTTGATATCTCTCTTTTATACTAGTTATATTATTATATAAATAACAAAGGTTTCCCTGGTTTGCCGACATCTCGGATTAAGGTATCAGTTGTGTATTTCTTGTTCAGCTTTACCTTCTTTTTATCCAATGATACATAAGTAACAAACCTGATAAATAAAATTGAACCATTTAACAATATTACTAAACTTATAATTATACAAAAGAATGACGCAGATCAACACTTCATCAAAATTAGTTAGGGAAAGGTGACATTCAACGCTTTGATTACATTATGTATACATACATACATGAATACTGAAACTTATTGATACCATTTCAAAAACGTGAAAAACATGAAGAGCACCTATAGAACTCGAACGATTACATAACATCGTGTGCAAACCATTGTAAAAAATTTTGGTATATTATTAATTGGTTGAATTCTTTAGAAAATTACGATACCGTAAAGTGATATAAAGAAAACGAGACATGAGGCTTTGAAAAAAATAATAAGCCGAAAGTGAACTAGAAAATAAAGAGCATCACAAAGCTGTGACCAAAAATCTGTAATATGCACATATCATCTATTTTCTAAAAATATACATTATTTCTCACTTTAAGTGTTTGAATTCTAACTAGCGAATCACATGTTATATATATTAGGACTTCGGCAATCACATAGTACCATTAGCCCTCATGTAGTAGACATGGTTCATCACACAGAATGAACGTGACTGTTACTTCAGTTTCTGTGTATTCGTGAGTATGTTTATTTAAAAGACAACCGTGACCAATGTTGGGTACCGTAATCCGCAAACAATTTTCACCGTCCCACCGAGTTATAAACGAGATGACTAATGAATATTTATATCATTCAGACCCATTATGAGTGAATATGTTGACTGGCGAAAGCCGATGAAAGATAGTTAAGCAGACATCACCACTGTTTCATTAGATTGTCATTTATTTGAGACATAATAAGAGATGACGTCTACCGAATCCGCACAGACGAACTGACTAACAACAGCATTTACAAACCATCGCAGTTGGTGAAAACATTAGATTTAAATATCTAACATTTCACTTATTTAAATATTCCCACAGGATATAGTAAAAAAGAAAAGGATATCTAAGCGAATAACTGTTTCCAATAAGTTTTTCTCCAGATGGCACAATTATAAATCCATGAAGATTGTGTTACAATAAACAATATATCAAGGTATACATATAATAGGATTCAAAATGCTCACCTAAGCAAAACCATGACATATTAGCAACTGCGACTAATGGATCTAAAGCAATTATTGCTCTGCAAATACTACGCAATGCACTCTTGAAAGCAAAGAATGCCAGACGAGTGTGACGATTAAACTCATCTTTTGGTGGATTTTCCCCTGTAGGACATTCAGTTGTCGATGAATAAGTGGCTCCAGAGCTTTGCTTATAAGATTGAGAATGGTCATGGACGTTTTGTGAATGATATGGAAAAGTCAATGAACTTGGAGTAGCAGTAATATAATTAATCTTCAATCGCTCATGAAGTACTTTTGACAATAACCATAATTTACAATCATATGGAAGGAACGGTAGTAAAATTCCAAATAGACAAACAATCAAACTTAAAATAAACAAAGAATTATAGAGTAGATTATTAAACAAGATGATGCTCGTTCTAGCGTTTTCTGATTGACTATCACTGGTACCACGACAGACTGTTAACGTACCTACAAAAAAAGATCAAAACAATAACGTCACTTCATGTACTAGAGTAAGTGATAAGATACTAACAGGGTTACTTTAGACAGGACATTTCCTTAGAGGTGGCATAAAACGGGAGCCGAAAACTAAATACAAAGTATAATAAAATTAGCTGTTTTCTATGGGCTAGAATGAACAAATGAGAACCATTAGTTCAAACAGGTTTAGAGCCGCGACCAGAGAAAGAATAATATTGACATTTACGTGAACATTATAAAACGTTACTCTACTATGATTATCGATGTAACGAAAGGCACCTATTGTGTCACTGAAGATACACAATGATTTGGCCCAGAGCAGGGACTTATCTTTCACACAACTTCTAATTATAAGCCGACTAGAAAAGATAATCCAAAGTTCAGCCGAATAGAAAGTTTTCCTCAGAGATCTTGGAAGTCTGTTTTTTTCGCTGGTGTCTCCTCTAAACAGAATATTCATGAAGAAAGTCTTCTTTGGTGCTATGGATACTCACGTTGTTTTGGCTTCAGATTTTTTTCAGTGAATCAAGGTGGATATCCATTGTTGACTAGTATCTACTGTAGTTTATCAAGTTCTGTATTGATTATATTCTCGGTACAGATGCGTATAACCCTCAAACAGGGAGAATGAATCAGGTTTCTCTTTTGCTTCAGTGGGACTTACCTTTGAGACTTTGTGTATTGACCACACCATATTGGCTTTCTATATATCGATCTTTGTAGGGAACAGTCAGGTCGCTTTACTAAAACATCTAAAAAGCAGAATTCCAATTCCGACTGATTTCATCGTGAATTTAACTGATTGATGACAGCTGTTGAACGCGTACAGAATGTCGTTGACGGTATTTTTGTCACAAATAATGAAAGTGTCATCTAAGTATCTTTTGAGTAGGCAGTTGTCAATTATTGGTCTAAGTATGTTTCCGAGATTAGCAACGAAAAAGTCAAATAGCAGTGAGCTAAGTGTTGAATCCATCGCTACACTGTCAGTTTGTCCACAGAACTCATTCTTAAACATAAATTGGACGTTGAGAGTGAATCAAAAAAGTATTTCCTCCAAGCAGTGCGTTGGAATACCAACATCGAGTTTGTTGTTTTCAGTGTAATCACATAATAGGCGGATTGTTTCCGTTAGAAAGATATCTAGTGACGTCACCTATCCGGTTAGGTTGACACGCTATTGAATCAACAAAATCAAACGAATCAGCAGTTGTGTATATATTGAGTTGATTTCCAACCGGACGCAAAATTTCAACCAGCCATTTAGCGATGGCATGATATGGAGTTATTCATATCTAGTATGAAACGTAGAGGGGTATCGTTCTTATTTATATAATCGTGAAATAATGGATCTAGTTCATCTGTTTTTCAAAGAGATCTCTCATTCTCTTGAGGAGTTTAGTTGATTTCCGCTCAGTTTGATCTGCAGCATCTTTTTATTTAGGGAACTTGTTCGATTTAACGCTATATCTTCGTTTCTCAATAGATCTAATAGTTGGAATTTATTCTCTAGAAAGTAGTTTACTTGTTGATTTTGTGATGATATATTAAGACAATCCACAACGGTTTTTTTTAAGTTCTTTGTTGTATACAGGGATAAGGTCTTTTGTCTGATGGACCAGGCTTTCGAAATGATTTTTTGTGCTAAGCTCATTGACATGTGTGGAAACATCACAGAATTTTGGACCCAGCAACAATGTTTGTGATTGAGTTACTGATAAATTGATATTAGAGCACTTAACGACGTATTTCTTAGGTATTTCTATAAAGGAAGTGTGCACTTACATTGGTTTTAGACTTTTCATGAACTCCACATATGTCAGCAATATTTTCTAAATACCTGTTAGACGCATTTATATTCTAGCCAAGACAAAGTGGGGATGGGTAAAATAAACTAGTCACTGATAAGTGACTAAACTTCTAGAAACCGTCTAGCTGATAGATTCCATAGATTATGCTACTGGGTGAAAGTGAAGGAAAGTATAAGTTTTGATAAAAATACGACTAAGTAATCCTAATAGCTAAGCACTTCGTACGTCAATAGAGTACATTATTTATCCTAGCTAAATATCTGGCACGAAATCAGGAAACTGAATATAGGAAAAAGTATACATTGTATTAAATACGCAAATACCAAACACCTAGATAGATAGCGTAAAACTCAATAAGAAAACAAAAGTAATTTGTTCATAATTTTAAATATTTACTTGAATTCGATCTATTCTTCTGTGTTTTAACTGTAGGGAACATGTTAGAAAGACCCATACATTTCGTACGATCTAATGATAAGTATGTCTTAGTAGTAATAGGGCGCTTTTCTAACCCAATCAAGTTTCCGAAAGCTCGCGATAAAGATGCTGTTCTTAAGCTTGAGTTAGACAAACCAACATCATGATAACGACTGGGCCAAGTGCTGCATGAATCTGAATCTTGAATAGCAACATTATGAGAGGGGTTACGCGAAATTGTTGAACATATATAATGCTCGCCTAAAAAGGAAAAGCGATGTAAATCACAATAAGCACAACCAATAGAAATAAGTAAAAATTTTGCCTGATGAAGCCTTTGTTACTTTCTTTTTAAATCAACAACAATATAGAAACGGTCAGTAATGATAAGTAAGCCAGAAAAACAATGGTTTAAAAGACATTGATAAATCTGTCTGAACATACGTCCAACGTATTTGTAAATTAGTTAAATAGATGAATATGGATAGCACCTACGACAATTTATTCAATCCTTATACCTCTATAGAATCCGGTGAAACATATCCTCTTATTGCAGATCTTTTAAGTACGTTTTAGCCTATCTGTAACCCAAGGTGGATTCATCACTGAGCACTGAACGCTCACGTGCCAAGAATCGATTAAATGCCAGTTAACTACAAAACCTATTTAGTTTGCAGCCACTGTAACTCTTAACAACAGTAGGTAGTTAGAGTTTCGCTAGTCGATGGATCCAAAGAAAGGTTTGAGTAACTGAGAGACCCTATTGCCAGGAATAACACATGCCATCCAGCCTTGTGTTCTTTACAAACGCAGAAGGGGATTAAAGGCTAGTGGAAGTACTAGGACTTTGACAAACACCAGTTGGACTGGTCTATCGAATAGTCAGCTAACTGAACTAGGGAAGTTACAAACATATACGGCCAGCGCAGACTGGAGTATTCGACCATACCAGGAAAGGGGAAAACAAATTACTGTTTACGGAAACCTACAAAAAGCGGAGCCATCGTATGAATCGAAAAACTGGATCTTGAAAAAGTCCTTTGTATCATCCGTTATTGAAACTCTGGATACTGAAATATCACTAAAAATATAGTTAAGTGAAACTGATTGAATTACGTTTCAACGAATTCACCAGACTTCAAAATGCCCTTGCATACTGATAGCAAATACTTGGAACGTGCTGTAGATAAGACTGAGTATTTAATGATACGATCTTAAAAGACTCCTGAATTTACCTTTGAAGCGCAGTATTTTTGCTGATTTATTAACAATCAATACTTGGCATGTGTTGCAAGTACCTTCTGTTGAATAATGAAAAAATATGTTTGACGGCTTAACGAGGACTTCCTTGCTTGAATCCAGCGGCATAACGAGTTTCACAAGACAAGAAGCTGAACCAGAGACCGTCACATCCTCACTTGAATATTTGCCGTGACGTTGAGATTTGTATTGTATACATGACCGTTCAAATTCCAGTCTTTGAGGATAAGGTAGGAAGACCGATTGATCTAGGTTATTTCTAATGAAATCTTCTTTGTGAGCGTTTGTCGTAATCGTGGTCTATTCTTTTTCGCTGATGTTTTTATTTCAGTGCACATTCAGCTAGGAAGTAAAAATAACTGGCACTTTATATTAGGAGATATTAATGTACCTGATATTAGTTGAACAGGAATGGTCACCGTAGGACCTGAAAACTCTCTCTGATGACGGGTATGGAGCATGCATGTATGCGGACCCACACATTTTGTTTCAAAGCAAGGACCTTCTTTGTTAAACATAGTAATCACTCATACAGTCGAAGATATTGCCTATCTAAATATTCTGCCACGATTAGAAAATGGAGATTGTGCCGTTTCGTCATTCGTCTTTAGAGCTTGTAAAGTAGTGTATGATTGGGTAAAACTTCTTCCAAATGTGTTGAGTGCAAAAATATCGGGCATGAGGGAGTGCATTGTAACAACGAGATGTTGAGTAAATACTAGCTCATTAATTGAAGAAGCATGGTCCATACTTAAAGGTGGGCTTAGCTTAGTCACTCCTCCGTTTATAACCAGCTCATTACCACTCAGATCAAGTAACTGTCCACCATGGATATCTAAACAGGTCAAGAAACTTCTTAACCGTAAAAAAAGGCTTTGGAGTATATTTATCACTACGAGCACTGAACAACACAAATCTGACCCACGAAGTCACGCCACCGTCCATCATTGTCATCGGCAAGTTACTATCTCACAGTAGACCCGGATTAACTCTATCGGTCATGGCTTCTCATTAGGACTCCAGGAAATACCTTTTGGAGACCATCACTAGTGAGCATATGGTGGTTATAATCAGAGAGGGTTTTTATGGATATTGTAGTAAACTTAATAATTGAATTCATAAGCCACTTGAAGCTATATCAACATGGATGCCGGCTCAGTGGTCTAGAAGTCGAATTGTCACGCGAGACTGTTAGGTTCTGGGTCCGAATCTCGCGAGGTGGGATCGTGGATGCGCACTACTAGGGTGAAACGGCCATACAGTGCTCCCAGGTTTTCCATGGTTATCTAGCTAAAATTATTATAATATCCACGAAACCCGTCTCTGCTTATAATACAAATCCACTTGGTAAGTAAGACTAGACATTCATATGAAAAGCAAATGTTTAGAGACTGTGAAACTACACCGAAAAGGTTGCTCTTATGTATATATAACGAGGCGAACTCAGAGACATGATGGAATCCCACCACTTCTGGTACAAAAAAGCTGTTGATACTGGCAAGAAATGATCATGCAAAGGTTGAGGCTTCATCAAAATATTTAAGTGGTGTTTTCTTGCGACTATGGTGAAACACTAACAACTTATTATAATGGCGACTTGCCAATAGAACCCGTAGTTATTGAGAACAGAGTTTTCTTACGATTACTTCAACATTTTACGCCAGATAAGTCCAGTGATTCCATCGATATCTATCCTAGGATTATGAGAACCCTGTCGGATATAATTGATGAACCTCTGGTAATACTGTTTGATAAGTATATGTAGAATTCTGAACTGTCAAGAAATTGAAAAGATTCAGCAATCAGTTCGGTGGACTAGAGGTTAGTTTAACTGGTCTAGCTGTCATACGAGTAGGAAAGATTATTCAAACGGCCAATTTAAATTATATGGAAGGGAAGGAAGAATTTATCCGCAACGCAACCATGTAAACTTAGTGTATCGCCCAGGGTCATCTGTGCGTTCAAGCATTCACAGATTTTGTCATCTCATAATGTATTTTTAATTAAATAATTAGATTATGTAGTTAATTTTGCTCTGTTTTTAATTTTTATTCGCCACGTCCGACTGCGTTACACTGCACGTCCATTGCACGCTGTGATGATATATCAAGTCATAGTGAGTTTAATCACATAGTTGATTGTTTCCAGATAGATTGTCATTGCATGATTTTACTGAAGAAAGGTTTATTGTACTGAAAACTATGTTTTTATGAACAACTGCCTGTTGTCTTCAGTATGAAAGCAGTATATATGTATCCTTCGTTTTCTCTTAGGTAAGTTCGACTGGCCTATATTTCGTGTTTTGGTTCTATCGGCTGAATTATGTTCATTTGACTCCGTTTAGCAACATGTCTGTGCAAATGGAACAATAACTATGACACTTGCTTAGTTTAGTATTCTTGGTTGTCGTATAATTCAGTTTAGTTGAGAGAATTATGGTATACTTAAGTATAGTGCTTGAAGCCTGTAACGAAACAGATCAGTTTAGTAAGTAGAGCTGCCTGTTTTTAGTCAGTATACTGATTCAAAGCAGTCTGATTAAAAATAGGAAAAAACGTGCCTTTGATGCTGTTGCTGTCATACATTATAAGATAGCGATAAGTATGTTTGTTGTTTATTTCCAGACTGTACATCTATCACTGACCATATTTCATGATCACTTTCACTAAACAATTTCCCCAGCAATAACAACGGTAGCAAGATAGCTAAGCGTCTGAGCTTTTAGTTGCCCGCAAAACAGCAGTATACAGTCTTAGAAGATGAGTGTTCTGTGTCTCAATTAAATGCAGCTAGCTGTGTACAAATGTTAAGAATGTTTTTGACAACTGTGACTTTTAATTTATCAGACACTAACTCTGCTTCTATGTCTTCCTGTTAAACTAGACGCAGATGCATGGGAATGCTTAAGTGGGAGCAAAATAATAAAAGCTGTGCGATGTTGTACTTTGCACAAGTTTTAGTAGCTGGCGTGATCTGATATTTATGAAGTCGAGGTAAATCACAGCTGCGTAAATTCTCTCCTTTAGAAACATGTAATTTGTTTATTTACCTTTTTAACATTCTTGACTAAATCCATTACTATCTTTTATTTAGAATGTAACAGGAATGAGCCGTCACTGATCTTACAATGTCATTCAGCTTTATATCTATGGCCCTATGAAACTTTATGAGAGACCCAAGTAACAGCAGATTATTAAAAACATTTCGGACGTCCACTTTAGTCTCACAACCACTTCCAGGGTTTTGGAGTTACTTCTTATACCCTATCGTTTGAAAAGAAGCATCTACTGCAGCTTCACTTCACCAATGCTACAATGTAATTTTGAACCTGGTGTAAGTATGTTTCATATTCCATTGTTAATTAAAGTTCGTGAAGAAACTTATAGACTTGATACAATTTCGTTTTATCTAGATAATTGTTGTAAGGAACTGGTGAAACGCGAGCCTGACATCACCTAGTTGATATGTAGTAATTTCAAGTCAAGACAGTTGACTCAGTTACACATCCCAACAGTTCCCGCCTCTAATCTTAGTTTCTGATTTAAATACCATGTGATAAGCAAGCAACGGGAGACCCCGAAGTCCGGGCCTTCTTATAACCTATTTCAACCACCATAATGTGTTGCAGTAGTAATTTTATGGGTACGCGTTTAAGCCATAGTTGTTTATTGGGATGCCGTCGGATTTCCAATCAATACCTTAGCTACACTGACCGGTCACTAGTACCGTGAGGGTACGCGCTCGTCAAAGCACAACTACAGGCCCATTCAATGTTTTCACCCCCTTATACCAAATATAGCAAAAAACTCTGTATTTAATGAATACAAGACTTTTATTTAATAAGGTATTAACAAAAACTGGCAACGCAGCAGACGCACATGATGAGATTTGTATTCATTGATTATCTGAAATAGAGAGTACGAGTATTAGCTTAATAGATGCATTTATAAATACTTAGATTTCGGTTTCCAAAGAACCAGTGAACTTACCATGTTCGGAAACTGCAGCCAGACGCCTCACGCGTATTAATTCATCAACTTCATCTATCAATTGCCTTAGTGTGTCTTGCACCGTCATCTGTCCGAAAAGTGTACTGAGTGAGTGGATTTTACTGCGTAGAGCGCGATAAAGTCTGTTTGTTTCATCATAATCTGGAGACGGAATAGCTGGTATATTTCCATCTACATCTTGGACAGCCTGCCACGTTCATCTGCAACAGAGCTTCAAAACTAAATCAACTACTTCATGATACAAAGATGAATATAACATAAATGTGAACTCTGGCATTTGTAGATGAGTAAAAACCATCTGCTTACATGGAATTCGACAGGTTTTATATAAACGGCAGGTGTAAGTGCCGTTGCTTATATCCACTACCGGACGTTGATGGCCGTCTACGAAGAACACAAAGGGTGACTGGCTATTCTTGATGTACATCAGTCCCCTTTTTTATAGTCTTTAAGGACTGCAAAGCCAGCATAGATGGTTAGCTTGCTTAGTAGAGGCATTAAGCAATCTTCAGCTACGTATCTGCGTTTGTGACTACAGTGTAAGCTGGATTGTAGTGACCTACGTTTGCCTAATTGCCTCTGCCATATAAATGTCTTCCACATACATTTACTCAACGCGTCTCGGTTAAACAACTTTCTCCCCAGTTGTCTGTGCGCACTTTCAACCCGGTTGTTCGTGTTGTTACGCAACGTAACGACATTCCTATTGAAAGTTGCGGCCCAAGTTTCTTTCCTACTCATCCTGTTCTTGTTTAAGTAGGCTGTGATGCGTCTCCTGCGTACACTGATTATGTGACGTGTCTGATTAAACTTAGCTACTGTTTGTTCAGGCACCAGTTGATATGAGTACTGCTTGATTATTGGATTGCGGGTCTTCTTACACATAGCTCTACACACGTGAAAAGAGCATAGAGCTATGTGGGCAGTATGGTGCGTTAATTCAACAGCGGGTATGATGGATCTTGCACAATCCATCACAAACGTTCCCGTTTGACTGGTTCCATTCATGATCTTTTTAAAATGATCCAGTATCCATACTACATCAAACTTCTTCTCTTCCTTGGTCAAAGCAAACATAACTGAGACTCCATGCCCGCAGTTATCTTTACAAACCAACTGAAAGAGTTTATAACTAAAGACAATTATTACGCAGGAAAATTTTACTTAGTTTCCCCTGTTTGTGTTGTAAGTTGAATCCAAA